TTTGGCTTTTAAAACCCTTCACAGAGTTGTCTCTTTCTACCTGTCCAGTTTTCTTCTGCTTTCTGCCCCTCCAAGTACTCTGCAGGCTGGTGATACTGGCTTCCTGGCTGTTCCTCCATCTCCTGACTGAGCATGTCAGCGGCTGTCTCCCATGTCTGGAATGCTCTTTTTCCTCATCTTTTGCTTCCTCACTTCCCTGGCTTCCTTCAAGTCTCAGCTTAAATGCCACCTTTGACAAGAAGCCTTTCGTGGTCTGTCTCAACGTTAGTATTTTAAACATGTTTTCTGAGTTTATTTTTAAAGAACATGAAGTAAAGGATAGTAGATATCACCCTCAGTGAGGCCCTACCTGAACAGAGCCATAAGAGAATGAGGAACATGAACGTGGTCAGGAGTCTCTCTGGGAAAAGCAGCGGCAGTCTGATACTCCAGAGGCCATCACTTCTCCCATAGCACCTTCCTGAGAGCAAATAAAAACTCACATTCTCTACACTATTCATTCTTATTTATAGAACACCACAAGAACAGATGGTGCAAAGCAAGTCACTGAAAGGCTAGGTCCCTGTCCTAAAGAGCTAATGATGTAACTTCAGATGTTGGAAAAAATAGATCAAATGCTAGAATAAGCCAAGGCGTCACTGGTAGGGTCAATGTGGAGAGGCTTCACAAAGGAAAGAGGTGTGTGGGGTTTTTTTAAAGAATTTATACTTATACATTCAACAATCAGAATATGATTGTCACTCAAAGAAATAGTACTTAGAGGAACTATGCACAGAATTTCACATAGCTAATCTCTTAGAATGGAAAAAAAAAACCAAACCCTGCAGATTGCAAATAGAGAGCACCATGCCTCAGATTAAATGTATCCTAATAATGGAGTTTAAATCTGATAAAGAGAAGTAATTACTAATTGCTAAGTTGCCTGTGTTACAGAAATTTTTAAAGTTACAATAGGATATCCTAATAATACCAGTTGGCTACAAACAAAAACCCAGATCCCTCTAAAATGAATAAAAAAGGAAGATAATGTGTACAATAAAGTATGGCACAGAGAAGAATTAATCAATCAATATTTACCAAGCACCTAGTATGTGCCAGGTAACCAAGAAATGGGAACATCTGTCCAAGTGGCATGAGTATTTACATGAGTAAATACTAACTATGACAATGGTCTGGTGCCAGGGGTGGGGAACCTGCAGCCTTGAGGCCTCATGTGGCTCTATTAGGTCCTCAAGTGCGGCCCTTTGACTGAATCTAAACTTCAGAGAACAAAGATTTGACTGAACAGTCAAAGGGCCACACTTGAGAACCTAGAGGGCCACATGTGGCCTCGAGGCGGCAGGTTTCCCACCCCTGCAGTCCTATCCCCTCCTAACATATTTCAAAGAACAAAAGAAATTTTATATATAAAGTAGTAAAGTCTGTTATCCAATATGTTGGGGGATGCTAGTTGTCAAAAAAAAAATCAAATAAACTAAGAAATGGACAATGTTATTCCTTTTGGTGTCCCTCCTAAAACCTATAACTGAAGCCTATAATACATACCAAGTCTAATTTTCCCCAACTTTGAAAAAAGCAGGAATAATTAATAATAACCGAGTAATAGCTCAGTTCATTCAACTGCTCTAATCTAGCAGGTCTCATCATTAATGCCATTAATCACATTTTAACCTTCTCATGAGGTAGTAGAAATATGGGTTTCTAGAGATACTTGGCAACATGTTAAAAAATGGCATCAGAGGGCAGCGAGGTGGCACAGTAGATAGAGCACTGGGCATGGAATCAGGAAGACTAGGCTTCATGAGTTCAAATCCAACCTTAGACACTTACTAGCTGTGTGACCCCAGGTAAGTCAATTAACCCTTTTTGCCTCAGTCTCCTCATCTATCAGATGAACTGGAGAAGGAAATAACAAACCACTCCAACGTCTCTGCCAAGAAAACCCCAGATGGGTCACAAAGAGTCAGACATGAGTGAAATGACTGAACAACAACATAAATAATATAGTTTTTCCCTCAGACACGGAACACTCACTAGCTGTGTGACCCCTGGGCAAGTCACTTAACCCCACTGCCCAGCAAAAAAAGAAAGAAAGAAAGAAAGAAAGAAAGAAAGAAAGAAAGAAAGAAAGAAAGAGAAAAAGAGAAAAAGAAAAAACAAATAAACAATATTTTCACTATGTAATAGATAAAGTTACTACTCTATAATGAAAATTAATTTGAGTTTTGGGTAAAGTTAATTTTCGCAAACTCAATCACATTTTATATGCACTAGGAAAACACATTATTTCCAGGAATCCTGAAGTAAAATTTCCTGTTTAATTGCAAAATCCTTTTGTAACATAAATAATAGGCACATACATTACCTATTTTTAAATGTGGATTTTGATAAATAAGAGTTCTTAAAAAGAAGACATGCTTATAGAAGGAGGGAGGGGTTTTTTTCTCTCCACTCAAAAAATAGAGAATGATAGAACATCAAAATCCATCTAATCTTTTTACCTGTATAAGAATCCCCTCCACAGAATCACTATTTGATTCAGTAAGTGCAAGTTCGTGCCATGGAGAGTGCTTTAAAAATTACATTAAGACTAGCGATAATTTTTTTGTTTTGTTTTTTTTAGGCAATTGGGGTTAAATGACTTGCCCAGGGTCACACAGCTAGTAAGTGTCAAGTGTTTGGTCTGAGGCCAGATTTGAACTCAGGTACTCAAGCAATAATTTTAATATGCTTTCATTTTGTGACTGCCCTTCCCAATCTCCTAATACTGCCTTCCTTCTGAAAGTATCTCCAATCTTTCTGAACACCTCATTTGTACACAGCTGTTTGCATGTTGATTGCTCTGTTAAATTGCGAGTTCTCCTGGGCAGGAACAGCATTTGCTATGCCCAGGGCTTAGCATGGTGCCTGACACTCTGCAGGCACAATGCCTGTTGACCTGACTTGATTCCTCTTTGGGAAAGGCCTCCAGTCTGTCGCTCACCTCTGAGTGGGCAGCCATCCTACTTCTGTCCTTTCTCAGATCTTCTGACAGACTAGGTCAGAGGTGCTTCAACAACCCCTTCATCTTCCCAGCTAGTCATAGTAGACCTTGTAGCCTCTCCTGGCAAACCCCTGTGGGACAACTTAACAGTTTTCTCTTTTACTTCTCAGCCTGGTTAACATCTTGCCTCCTCAGCATCCTGACGCATACATCCAACTTCCTTTTCCTTATCTTTCCAACTTCCTTCTCATTCTTCCTCTTGATTCCCCTTAAATGTTATGCTCTCACAGTCCGAGTCCTTCCCCTGACATCCCTCTCCTCCAGTCCTCTTTGGCAAATTCCATTTCCTTTTAATACCACTCTCTCCAGCTCTTTCATTTTTTCCCCTCCCCAAATTTCAATCTATGGCTTTCTTCACAATCCTAAAACACTCCAAATCTATTTCTCCTTCAAACCAAGCCATTCCTGGGTCTTAATCATTGCTGGATGGTTTGCTTAATTTTATTTAAGTGCTAATAATAACTTAAAGAGTAATATAAATGAGGTCAGCCTGGGGACCTTCCCAGTCATTAGGAAGAGGGCTAGCTCCCTGGAAAGATCACTGAATTGGAAGTCAGAGGAAGTGGGTTTGAATACACTGACACTAATTTACTACCTATGTGACTTTGGATAAGTCATCTCCTCAAGGGACCAGGGAAGATAACCTCTAAGGTCCCTTCTAGCTCTAAAGCCTATAACCTATGACTAGCTGCAGTATAAAAGAAGCTGTTTCACAATTAGTTACATACAGTTACAATCAGCTTATACAATCAGTTTTCACACAAAATAAAATAAATATAGCTTCTATAAACTAGAATATATGGATAGCGACACCGAGCTATTATGCTCTTTTTCCTATTTCCTCCAGAAAATACTGTAGAGAAAGGACAGCAGCTCCAGCATAAGTCATTCGTAGACAGTCTCTGGCTAACATGGAAGTTAATTTTGAAACAGCTTTTGGGGTATGTGTGCCTTAGCTAATAGCAGGGAATTCCACATACAATCTGAATTTCCCATTGCTTTTTAAAGTGTTATTTACCACACTCACTCACATCTCAAGATGACATCTTACTACTGTTCATTACAACTGATAGAAAACAGCCCAAGCCGCACATAAACTATATGTATGTACATGATCACTGTGGGGAAAAGAAGAGGAAAATGGTTTGGGGAGGGGGGAGCCTATGAACCTGGAAAATTATTCTATTAACTAGCACAGCAAGAAGTAATGAACTCAAAAGGAAGATGTTTATCTTGATATTTTTCTTTCATTCAGTAAGGAATGTTTTTCGCCTTTGGCACTGCCTTGGGTGAAATAATGTCTAGTGGTCTCAAGCACACAGCGAATGCCAGCCTCTTAGCTTGTTCTGCTCATGGCCTTCTTATTGTTCTGAGAGGGAACCACAGGTTTGTGTCGGTTGGTTGAGCTATTTTCAACCTGCCAACAATGTGGTAAGAAAAGGGGAAGGAAAGTAAATGGAAAAACCAAATTGCATAATAAACAAACTTAATGTTAAAAGTGATGGATTCCCTTGAACAGAAATGTTTCGCGTTTACCCCTTCGGGACCTCCAAAGGGTCTCCACAGCCTGACAAGATAATCATGAGAGGTTAGAAGCTATTAGTTAGTACCTTCGTCAAAGTTGTGCACAAAGTAAACATAAGTTATTGAACAAGCTGTCTCAAAAATCTTCAGAAGAAATTGATAAGGATAGGATATTAAAAGCTGATTAATCAAGCTAGTTCTTATTTAGTACTGATTTCTGAAGATCAAGTCATCTATACATGCTGAGTGATAGAGAAACAGTTCATCCTGCTTTCTGCTCCTGTGTAGGTCAGGGTCTTGTCATGATTATTTAAATTCAGGAGCAATCCTGGGTTGACAAGATACTGCAGTGCTGCAGGCTACAATGCGCATCCAGTGCCCGAAGGCTTATTACAATGGAGAATTTCTGGGGAGGACCAGACAAGAGCCTTACCCCTTCCCGAAGGCATCTCATTAGCACAGTGTAAGCAGCCAAGGGAACGACCCAGCACTCTCGAGGGTGCTCTTTTTTTTCTTCCTGAAATGAAGTAGAAGGAAAGGCAATGAAGCTAACAGTACAATTGATATTAACCCTTTCAAGCAAAATTCATAATATCAAACTCCTAAAGCATCCAAAACATTACAAAAAATCCCCAAATACTACTATCCATCTGCCTGAATCCTGGAACTAGTTTTTATTTTTCAATCACAGCACTTTTAAAACACTACTATAGAAAACCTGTTTTTCTTGCAATATCACATGCATTATACTGCTATAAGGCCATTTCATGAAACAGGTTTTATTTCTCACAAGTCTATATTAATTAAATTCATTTTTGCTAGGATAATTGTCGTATAAAGAGATTAAGGCACTGTCTTTATCAACAACTAATATATTAACAAGTGGTACCATGGCTATCTCTACTTCAGGATATATTTTCAAAATTTCTTAGAAAACACAATAAATCTGGTTTTCAACAAGAAATATTTAAGAGGTCTTTCTCAATTCCCTACACTTAGACCCTTCTTGTTTGTTTGATACTGGGTCTCCCTAACTTAACCAGAGTAGAATTACAGTGGCTACTTACTGGCCAAACCCACTCAAGATGGCAGCTCTGACCTGCTTGGCATCTGATTAGGTAGGACCAGTTCACCCACCCCTGGGTAGCCTGGTGGCCTCCTCTCTCTACCCAAGTTACTGTTGTTGTTCATCCTTCATTTTTGCAAAGAGAACCAAAGACATCATGGGGTGATGTCTTGACTTGGGTGTGAATTGGATTTAAGTGAGGCAGAGCTGCACAAAGTCATCAGCCTCACTCTCTTTTCCAGTCACTCACCATATTGGTGCCAAACTGAGTGAAGATGCTGGATTGGTTTTAGCTCCAACAAAAGATCTAGATTTATTGTGGATATCTCAAAATCAACACGCCCAGAACAAAATTAATGATCTCTCCCCTATTCAAACCTCTCCCAAACTTAGATCCAGAGGCAGAAACAACATAAGAGGTCAAGTAGGGCATCCCTCTCATTTTGTAGGCATATGAGTGTAACTCCCCTATTTCTGCCGAGGGCACCATCATTCTTTCCATCACCCAGGTTCACAACCCAAGAGTCCTCCTCAACTCTTCCTTCTTCCATATCCATATCTAGTCGGTAGCCAAATCTTGTCAATTCCACCCCCATAATATCTCTTTTCTCTGTTCCCTTTTCTCTACTCACATGGCCACTACTCTAGCTCAGGCCTCATCACCTTTCTCCTAGATTACCCTAACAGCTTCCTAATTGGTCCCCCTACTTGTAGGCCTCTCTCCAATGCACCCTCCACAAAGCTGCCCAAATAATCCCCTAAAGCACAGATCTGACCATGCCACTCTCCAGTTTAAGAATCTTTAGTGGCTTATAACCTCTACTGAATTGTTTGCTTGTCTTCTCAATGAGGGGAGTTGGGGAGAGGGAGGAAGGAAGAGAGAGAATTTAGAACTCAAAGTTTTAAAAACAAATGTTAAAAATTGTCTTTACATGTAACTGGGGAAAAACAAAATACTAAATAAGTACAAAAAATTTAAAAAGAATAGAGCTTTTGATGCCTTTTTTTTGGGGGGGTAAGGCAGTAGGGTTAAGTAACTTATGTTCCATAGGGGTGACAACATGTACTCATATGAGGATATACAGAATAAATATACAGAGTATCAATACAAAAGAAATACAAGGTAGTTTAAGTACAAGGTAGTGAGACAGGAGGTCAGAAAAGCCTTTGTAGCAAGTGGTGCTTCGGCAACATCTTGAAAAAAAGTGGGGGATACTATGAGCAGAAGTGAGGGGGCAGGTAAGCAGAGAATGCCAGATCTAGAAATCATTTGGTCTCACATTCTCTTACATTTTGCAGACCAGAAAAAAAATGAGCACCGGAGGTGATCTGAGCAAGGTCACATGGCCATCTGGTCACAAACCACAAAATCTAAGTTGGCAGGAACCTTGGCAGAGGGCATCTTGCCCAAACCATACACTGGAATGGAACTGAGGTCCAGTGGCTTTCTTTTAGTTTGGACCCTCAAGATTCCTCAGCTGTCCCCACTCTGATCCATCCTCCACACAGATGCCAACATAATTGTCCTGAAGCACAGATCTGACCATATCGTTCTCCTCTCAGTCATCTCCAGTGACTCTCTCTTACCTACAGGATCAGATGGAATTTCTTTGTTTGGCATTTAAAGCTCTGACAACCTGGACCCTTGCTACTTTTCCAATCTTCTTGAACATTTCTAGCAGGGGCTACGACTCACGGTGGTTTTGTGTGATCAGCAAATGGTGCACTAGCCAACAGGCTGCTGATCTAGGTGGCATTGCTGAGAGCACAGTTCTGCCGGCACCCCATTGGGCCACAGCCAGAGCCCCTTCTGTCTACTTCCATCCTCCTTGTCCAAGGCAGCCGTACACTAAGCTTGATACACCAGGCAGTAGCTCAGGCACATGCAGGCTGAACTACTTCTTTCAGGGAGGGGTGGCTGCTCTGGCTTCGTGATCCCTAAGATATAAAATGCCAAGCCCAAGGAGAACAGTTATCCCAGGTTATTTCTGAGCCCAAACTCCCTGCAGGTCCCCTTCCTGAGTTGCTGTCTTGATAATCTAATTAAGCAAGGAGTAGTCATTTATCTCCTTTTAACTCTGAAGTGTGCTTTTAACTCCCAACTAGCAGAGTGGTTTTACACTTTTTTTATGTTATATCAGTACTTCATTATATTTTAATCCTTATAACTGCTGGCCAAGTTTAGGCCATAACATTATTACATAACATTATTCTCCTGTAGGCGCTCCACAACCCAGCTATACCAGCCTACTGGCTGATCTTCCTACATAACAATTCATCTCTTCACTCACTGTCTTTGCACTGCCTGTCCCCCATACCCAGAATGCTCTGCCTCCTTACCTCGAAATCCTGAACCCTTGGGTTCCTTCACAACTCAGCTCAAAGGCCACCTCCTGTGAGAGGCCTTCCCTTCTATTTACTCTACAAGCATCTTATTCATACCTATTTATACCCATGCTGTCTTCACATCAGAATGTAAGCTCCTTGAGGACAAGGATTATTTTTTCTTTGAATCTTTCCATAGTAAGTGCTTGTTTGATTATTAATCTATATAGATCAAATGTTATATCAATCAAATTATGAAGGGAATACTTTATAGAACTAGATGAAATAACAACAATTAATTTGGAGGAATAACAGACCTAGAATCCCAAGGAGAAAAGCAAAAAAATAGGGATGAAGGGCATATAGCATTAATAGATATGAAGCTATACTATAAAGCAACAGTCAACAAAACTATTTGATGGCGGGGAGGGGAGGGGAGGAGAGGAAATAAGCAAGAACCTGAAACCATCAAAAACAATAACTCAATGTATAATAAACTCAGAATCATAAATTCTGGAGGAAGGACTCCCTATCTGAAAAGAATTACTGAGAAAATTAGAAAGCAATTTGGCAGAAATTAGACTTAGATGAACAACCTACACCATTTATCACAATACGTGAATATTTGGTCTGACTATAAAAAAATTTATAAAATAAGATTATAGGGTAATTTACAGGATAATGGGATGAAGTATTTTTTGTAACTATAGGCAGAAGAAGAATTCTTAACCAAAAAGTAAAAATGATAATAAAAGATAAAATATATTTCAATTACATAAAGTTTTAAAGTTTTTACATAAAAAAATCAATGAAAATAGAATAAAAAGCAAAACTATCAAGAGGGAAAATATCTGTATCAAATATCACTGATAAAAGTCTGATACCAAAGACACATCTCAGTAATTGACATGAATACATATGACAAAGAACCATTTCACGATAAATGGTCAAAGCATATGATGTTTTATTTTTATTGACATTCTTTATTTTTACATATTTCAAAATATCACTCCTCTCCCCCCTCCATCAAGCCATCCCTTCTAATAAAGAAGATGAAAGATTAAAAATAGCAGTTCAGCAAAACCAAGCAACATGGCAATAATGTCTTACAACATGCAATATTCCACACCTATAATCCCCTACCTCTTCAAAGAAGGGAGGGATTTTATCAATTCTCTTCTGGGGACAAGCCCAGTCATTATAATTACACAGTATCCAATTTCTCCTCATGGAGAGAAAACTGGACTAGGATGGAATGTTGCAACCACTGTCAGATACAATCACTTTTCGGTTGTTTTGGCTAATTTATCTTTTCTTGTTACAAAGGAGCCTTTGGGTTAGAAGAAAGAAAGGAGCTTATTTCCAAAAGTGTCTTTATGGGATGGCAAAAGTCACCAATAAAGTAGGCTTAAAGAAGTTTTATTTTCACTAGAAGAATTAGAGATATCACTTTCTCAATATCATGATTATCATCACACATATCAAGCCTTGTGCCATTTTCCTGTGATACAGGGATATTCCTCAGAAATGCCTGAGGTGTATGGGATTGCTTACTCTCCTACACTGGGTGGACATGCTCTTGAATTCCCTTGTCAGATTTTTTTATAAATTTTCTGTCTCTTCTTTTTCTGTCATGTTTCACTGCTATTAGAATACCTGCTTCTAACAAATTTCTTCTAAAAGACCACTCACAAAAATTCAAATCTCTTTTAATTAACTACACACAAGAACTAGATAAAATGATCATAACACCTCAAAGTTACAAGAACCTCAAAAATGACCAGATTCATTTCAATAATGGCTATCACAAGAGTAAATGGGTTTTATGAATGACATTCCAAGAGATTCTGATTGTTTCATTAAAATAGGTCTTACCAAAGTAACCTCATTTCTTTTTTTGATATGATCCTCATACTTGAAATAGATGTAGTACATGTGAATTCAACAAGTATTTGATTAATTTTCTCATGCATGTAATGCTTTCAGCCATAACAGGGAGATATGGACAGTATAGGTAGGTGGATTTGGAAATGGCCAAATGACTCGAAGGTTCCCCACTAATGGCTAACTGTTCCAATGGACAGAAGTCTCTAGGGCAGCACAGCAGAGACACATGTTTAGCTTTC